ACTAGAAAATCTTTGTATGTTTATGGCAAAAGTCCAGCAGATGATCTTTAATTCTTTTCCCAACTCTAAGTATCTAAGCTAAATATAATAGTTATATTAAATTTATTTTCCTTTGGATATTATACATTATGCTAGAAAATGTATTACCTCGTCAATAAAATCACCATTAGGGATATTTTTAGGGGATTTCCATACCAAAAATTATTGGTTCTAAAACACAACAATATTTAAAATATACATAGTGTGGCTGTGTTGTACTCAAATCACAAAACAAAATCAGAATGAAAATCTAGTGCGCTCATAAGAAGAAATGTTTGATTGCCTACATCACAGACTGGAGGTTTTGTGTGTTTTTTTAAGTTATAATTCTTATGCTTAATTACCTGAAATCTGCTACAAGCTTCTATTACCCCTTTAAATGTACCCTATATAATAAAGAGCTAATATTCAAATGGTCATCACACCCTCACGCCAGAATTGCTCAGACACTCAACACTGGGGAGAGAGGAATGGGGACCAGCCAGGCACAAATGAGCTCATGAGAGAGGAATGAGGACCAGCCAGGCACAAATGAGCTCACGAGAGAGGAATGGGGACTAGCCAGGCTGTGGCCCAGGAGAGGGACAAGCTGCATGCCCTGCGGTCCCGGGCACCAGTGACTGTGGCCTGGGCGAAGCTGCCCGCCCATGGTCCTCTGCAGCTGCGGCCAGCCTGGGCAAAGCTGGCCCAGGTCCTGGGTGCCTGCAGCTGACCAGAGGGAGGGAAGCCCGAGTCCTGGGTGCCTACGACCAGCCGGAGGAGGGAATCCTGGGTCCTGGGTGCGGGGTGAGGCAAAGGTGGTTAGGGGTGATCAGGCCAGCAGTGGAGCAGTTCGGGGCGATCAGGCCAGTAGGGGAGCAGTTAAGGGTGATCAGGCAGGCAGGCAGAGGTGCTTAGGGGCAATCAGGCAGGCAGGCAGGCAGGCAGGCGAGCGGTTAGGAGCCAGCAGTCCCGGATTGTAAGAGGCAGTTGGACATCCCCCAAGGGGTTCCGGATTGGAAAGGGTGCGGGCCGGGCTGAGGGACACCCCCGCCCCGCCCATGCATGAATTTTGTGCACTGGGCTTCTAGTGTGTAAATAAAAGATGCTTAAAATTTTTAAATAAATTTTCTATTACTTAATTCATTCTAGGTAAGTCCTACCTGTAGCATGACAAAATATTCTTAGAAGGGACTGACTGCATATTAACCAACAAAAGAAATCACTGCTTAACATACCTAGAGACACATGGTTACTAGTTAATGTGTAATAGTTAATAATGATCAGGTTGTTATCCTGTTGATCATTCTTATACAAAGTAGGCAACATTAGAGCAAAACCAGTATTTGCTCAAACTAAAAGTACAATAATAACACATGCAACTCCCAAATGGTAACACTGTGAAACTGAGATAAGTGAAAGGCCTTCTATTCCATCAACTTGAGAAAATTAGAAAAGGTATAGATGGATACTATTGTTGGGGTTTACCTGTGGCTTAATCCTAGTAATTCTAAGTTAGTTAATTAAATTTCTATTCATTATCTATCCTCAATTTTATCACTAATACAAAGAGAATAAAGAAACAACCACAAAAATTGTGGCTAAAACTAATCACTGCCTAGATCAGCCGTGGGCAAACTACGGCCCGCGGGCCGGTTCCGGCCCGTTTGAAATGAATAAAACTAAAAAAAAAAAAGACCGTACCCTTTTATGTAATGATGTTTACTTTGAATTTATATTAGTTCACACAAACACTCCATCCATGCTTTTGTTCCGGCCCTCCGGTCCAGTTTAAGAACCCATTGTGGCCCTCGAGTCAAAAAGTTTGCCCACCCCTGGCCTAGATACTTGCACATTCTCCCACTAAAAGTGCATCACTTCTTTTATAAATTATTTTAAAACAGACTGAACCATAACAAAGCATGCCAGAAATATAATACAGTCATATACAAATAACATCTCTCCTGTTTATAACACCTCAGAATGGCCTCCTTGTCACCCTCTAATCTGTGATGCTTTCTGATTTCTTCATCACAGTACCCTGTTAATTTCTATCATTGCACCTATACTATTGCTAATTATTTACTTACTTTTCTGTCTCTTCCCATTGGACTGAAAAGCAGAAAACTATGCATGTTTTAATCATCAAAGTATAACCACCTCCTGCTCAGGTACCTGGTATCAAAAAAGATGCCACCACCTGGCCAGTATGGCAAGGGATTGAGGGTCGAGCCATGAACCACGAGGTCAGGGCTCGATTCCCAGTCAGGGCACATGCTCAATCTCCAGTAAGGGGCATGCAGGGGGCAGTCGATCAATTATTTTCTCTTATCATTTATGTTTCTCTCTCTCCCTCTTTCTGAAATAATTTTTTTTTTAAAAGATGCTCCCAAAATACTATTTAATTAATGTGAACAAGTGAATTTTTTTTATAGTTTACAAGGTTACCTAGGAACAAAGTCCAATAATAGCTGAATCACAGAATATATTTCCAGTAAAACAAGCTTACATCTTATTAAAAGAAATAATATAATTTAAAAATAGTTGTTCTTTAGTCTGTTAATATAGGTAATTACACTGACTGACTTGAATGGTGAACCAGCTTTATAATACCAGGATAAACTATTTGGGTCAGGATATATTATCCTCTTATATACTGTTGGATTCTCTTTGCTAATATTTTGTTGAGCATTTTTACATCTATGTTCATGGGGGACATTGGCTTTCAGTCTTTGCTATTATGGTTTGTCTGGTAATGCTGGTCATAAAATGAGTTGAAAAATGTCCCTCTTCTTCTATGTTTATGTAGAATTGATATTATTTCTTCCTTAAATGATCATCTCAAGAGATGCAGAAAAGTCATTTGAGAAAATTCAACATTGATACATGAATAAAAACTCTCAGCAAACTAAGAAGGGAACTTTCTTAACTTGATAAAAAGCTACCAAAACCCTACAACTAACACCTTTTATGATGACAGATCAAATGTTTTCCCCCTAACATCTGCAACAAGGCAAGGATGTTCTATCTCCAACCTTCAATGTTGTACTGAAGGTCTTAACCAGTGCAATAAGAAATAAAAGGCACACAGATTGAAAAGGTGGAAATAAAACAGAGTATTCATTGAGAATATGATTGTCTATACAGAAAATCACACAGCATCTAAACAACAAAGCTACTAGAATAAGTGACTGTAGCAAGGCAGTAGGACACAAAAGTCAAAATATAAAAACCAGTATCTTGAGCTCTGTTGCCGAGATGGCACTCAATCCAACAGAACAGCATCTCAGACATGTCGAAAACGATGTTTTGATCCCTAAATGTATGATAAAAGGCCCAAGAGAGATGTTCTGAACAAGTTCAAGATTTACCGTATGTGCAAGGAATCTGGAATCCTTAGTAGTAAAATGCTGGAAAGAAAATTCTGCATTGAAAGAATGTCCAACGGCTTACTACAATGATCCTACCTTTTATGAAGAATGCAACATGGAATGCCTGAAGGAAAAAGAAGCATTCAGAAAAACTGGAATTGCTATCAAGGCTACAGACGCTTCCAACAAACACACAGGCAAATATTCAAATGATACTCAGTAACTCTATTCATGGAAATCACAATTACCTAAGATAATGGACACAAGGAAGTATATTTGCTTTATCCTTAATTTTGGAAATATTAATTTTATCTGAAATAAAGTTTCTTTTTCATTAAAAAAAAGTACTTCTACATATAGTAATGGACAATTAGAAATTAAAACTTTAAAACAGTGTAACTTACAATAGCACCCCAAAATCATTAATCACTTACCCCAAAATCACTAATCACTTGGGTATTAATCTAACAAAATATGTGCAATAACTACATGCTGAAACTACAAACCACTGTTGTAACAAGTCAAATAAATGATGAGATGTACCATCTTCATGAATTGCAAGACTCAATATTGTTAAAATGCTAATTTCCCCGAAAATGTAGTTATAGATTTGGGCACACATTCACCATCAAAATCACAATAGGACTTTTTGTGGAAACTGTCCAGCTGATTGTAAAACTTATATAGAAACGCAAACTAAAGTAGCCTAAACAATTTTGAAAAGTAAGACTTACTATAAAACTACAGTAATCAAAACAGTTTGGTACTGGTGAAAGAACAAACACATAAATCAATGGAACCCTACACTCTCCAGATATATGGTAAACTGATTTTTCACAAAAGCTGTACAACAAGTTTTGGATTAAGTCTAAGAGAAATACGCTTCTTTCCTATGGCATTAAGTCACAAGTTGCAAATACTGACTTCTGCCTAAAGGTTACTCTCAGCTTATAAAGTGGTCAAAATGTGTTAGGGGGGAAAAAATGAACAGCAAATCTCAAAGGGGGTAATACAAATGGAAATTAACATAGATAGGAATCGCCACCATTAGGAGAATCTAAAAGCTATATGCTGGGTTTTAAGCTTTTCCTAGATGACTAAAGAGATAAGAGTTGAGGAAATAACAGTCCTTTCAACAGCATATAATAACCCTGAAAAAGACAAAGGATTTCTGCTGCCAACATTCAAATATGTCTATCTACTTTCATTATATAAGGAATTTTCTGCAAGCGTTGAAAACCAAAGGCCAACTAAGTACGTGACCAACGTTATCCTCTGGTGATGAGAATGAAGATTATGGGGAAGGAACATTTCCGTGTAAAAATAAACGAAGACGGCAATAAAAAGCAAACGACCTGTTGAGAACGTAAGGCAAAACGGACGTTTACACCCGGCAGCACTGATGCTTCTTTTAATCGAGTGGCTGCTGGGGGGTGTTCCCTCTTCCTCCCCAAACCCAGGCGAACTTTCGGGGTTGTTATGTGGCCAGGAAGAGCGTGGGAACTATTGACCTGGGACCGTCCAACTGCGCTTCCTACGGCACAGAAGGAGCTGAATTCCAGTTCTAAGAAACTGGACGAGGAAAGGGGCGTGGCGGGGAAGAGCAGTGACCTGATGGGGCACCGGATGGTTGGAAGGTGACTTCACGGTGCGGGAGGTGGATGACATGACCAGGACCGGGTGGGCGAGTTTACACAGCTTGGAGTCAGGGAGTGCAGGCAAATGAGTCACCCAGAAGGTCCTGGGGTGGGAAAAGGATGGCATCGGCACGAGCAGGAAAGGAGGAAAACGGAGAGAGAACGAGGACTAGGCATACGGGGTGAATGAACATCCCTCCAACCCCGAGATGCAGGACACTTGCCGACGGGGGAGCGGGACCACGGGAGGAGCGGAGCCAGCTGGGGGTGTATCCAGGTGGGAGGGAGGCGGCCGTGAAACGGGCACACCCGCCATTGGGACCCTCCTGGGGGGCGCGGAGGTGTAGACGGCCAGGGAGGGCTCCAGGGTCCCGAGCGACAAGACATCTCACTCACCTGGGTTGGTGACCTGGGAAACGAAACAGAGAACACGCTTTAGAGACAAAACTGCCCCGGATCGGCGACTGGAGCCCGGCTTCCCTCGCCCCCGCCCGCACCCCCGGGCCGGAATCAGGGCCGCGCTCACCTCGGGGTTGGCCTCCAGCGGCAGCCAGCGGTGTCGCTCCATGGCAGCTCCGCCCGGCCACTCGCCAGCTCTGACAGCCTTCGCGGTCGCCGCTGCGGCCGCTTCCGCCCCGCGTGCCGTGACCTGGGACCGTCCAACGCTCCGCCCTCCGGGAGGGGTGCTGAAGGGCGAAGAAGAGCTTGACAACACGCTAGCCCCTTTCTCGCTCCCTGCAAAGCTGCGCGGAAAGTCTTACATTTTAAGTTAAGGGACAGTCGGAGAGGAAAATAATAAGAGCCACCTCCCTACTGCAAAAGGAAAATGTATCTGAATCTACCACCGCTCGCTCCCCTCACGCTTGGACTCTTCCTATCTGAGCCAAGCGCTCTCGTGCTACGCATGCGCCTTGCGTCTGTCGGGGACCGCGTGGTGGCGGGCGCCCCACCCACCCCTGCAGCGTCAGCCGGTGGCGCTAGGGGGCGCACCACTAAACCCTAGTAGTCTAAGGGGTAGAGACGGGGCAGCTGCTGGTCTGAAAGCCCCAAGGCCTGAGGATGCCAGGGAGGTATGCCACAGAAGTTCCTTTGTCAAGGTGCAGAAGTGATGTGCTGACCTTGTTTGCTACTGCAGAGTGGGAGGCATGTTGGACGAAAAAGGTCAAGTACAGAACCCTTTATGAATCAGACGCTGTACTAAATACTGGTTACACAAAGCTGAGCTCTCCATAGAGTAGAAGAGGTGGAACAATAAAGTGTGATGCCATTAATGAGGTGTGCTGGAACTACAGAGAAGTGCAGCTAAAGGGGGAAGGGAGTATCTGGAAGGCTTCCTGTAAAAGGTGGACACCGGGAGTGAACCCCTTTAAAAGAGGTGCCCTGAAGAAGGGAAAGTATACATTGTGGCTGCAGAGCCTGCAAGATTCAGGGACAGTCATTAGAGGTGATGCTGGAGACATAGGTAGGGCCAATCCGGTGAAGACATTTGGGCTTCCTCTTGAAAACAGCAGGGAATCACGGAAGGATTTTAAGGAGGATTTGTGTATCTCTCTTCTACCAGACTGTAAATTCCATGAGGCCTGCAGCAGCATATTTTTAAATTCTTCACATTGTTTCCCCTATGACTAACCCAGTGCCTGATACATAATAGATGCACAATAAGTATTTGGGGAGTGAACAGAATAATCTGGTATGAGAAACAGTCAGTCATGTAGAAAACTTGCATGTGAACTGATGAGATTGAATTAAGGCAGTAACCATGGAGATCGAGAGGCAGGCACAGGTTAAAAAGATACTGTTTTAAGGGGGCGTCCCTTTGATGAGCAGGAATTGTCAATGCTAACTCCGGAGATTTGACCTGGAGTAGAGTGCATATCACTATTATGCACCCAATAGAGGGCATCCAGGGAGAGAAACAGAGAGTGAGGAAAAGATTATTATGCTGAGTTTGCCTTTCTTGGGAAACTTCCACCTCTTCCACTCATGTTTTTTCTGGTCACTGTTCTTTGACCTCTAAGGAATTTCCAATCCATGACTCCTCTTTTTTCTTATCTGCCCGATAGCTTGCTGCTATCCCCACCCAACTGTGGTTTGGTAAATCTGAAATATCCAGCACACGATGGGCAGCTGTAGTTTCATCATACTTGAATTTCATGGTCAGGCTCTCAGTGGCATACCAGGGGCTATTTTACAAATGACTTGCTGTCAGAGGTATGGACTTGCTCCTGATCCTGAGTTTCTGCACCATGACTCTCCTATTAGGGCTTACCTAAGACTCCATACGTCATCCTTAACTCCCATGAACATCTCAAGTACCATTGGATCTGCTGAGACATAGAGCCAAATAGCAAGGCAGCTTGCATTTAAGCTTGGACTTGCTATAGTGCCCTCAGGGACCCACTTAAACTGGCAGCTGTCTGTGTTTCTCAATAAAAGTCTTGCAGCTGTATTCCCATGTGTGGCATATGCTGCCTCCAAAAGCCAAAAAGTCCCACCAAGTGCTCTGCCTCTTCCCAATTAATAGAAAATGTAATGTACAATAACTCTTTCTTCACCTTAGAAAGGTTATCCCAGCATGCCCAGACTTTTGGACCCATAAAAACTTTATTAGCCCTAGCCAGTTTGGCTCAGTGGATAGAGCATCGGACTATGGACCGAAGGGTCCCGGGTTTGATTCTGGTCAAGAGCACATATGTCGGTTGCAGGCTCCTCCCTGGCCCAGGCACTGGTCTGGGTGCGTGCAGGAGATGACTCGATGTGTTTCTTTCATATTGATATTTCTCTCTGTCTTTCTCTCTCCCTTGCACTCTCTCTAAAAATTAAAGGGAAAATATCCTCCAGTGAGGATTAAAAAAACCCCCACAAACTTTATTAGCCTGGCCAGAATGGTCAGTTGGGGGAACATCACCCTGTGCAACTGAAAGGTTGCCAGTTTGATTCCTGGTCAGGACACATACCTGGGTTGTGGGTTCGATCCCTGGTCAGGGCACGTAGGGAAGGCAACCAACCCATGTTTCTCTCCCACCTCAATTTCCCTCTCTTTCTCTCCACCTTCCTCTCTCTAATCATGTCCTTGGGTGAGGATTAAAAAAATAGATTTTATAAAACTTTATTAATGTAGTAGGCCCCTAATCTTTGTAGGGCTTAACTGTCCCCCTCTGCCATGGATGTACCTATAATCCTATCAAGGACAGTACTTCTGAAATCTGAATGTGCATACAAACATCTGGGGAGTCAGAAATGCAAATTTGATTCAGTAAGTCTGAGATGGGGCCCAAGATTCTACATTATTGGCCCCCATTTTTAACCCTTCCTTTATCCACAGCCTTTGCCATATTATTAAGTTTTTTCCACTAAGGGGAAAGTACTGTTCATCCTCAATATTCATGAAGCCTCCTTTTTGAATTTGCCTACTTGCTAACATTTACTTGTTAATTCAATACCCCCTCCCCCCAAAATCAGTACTCTTGTCACTTTCACAGTCATTTGCAGACATGGGTGGAGGAATGGCAAAAAATTTGAGTTCCCAGCTGAAGTCTCATATTGGAAACAAGTGTTCATTTTGCGATCTATTTAGTGTCACTTTTTTTTTTTGCATTTTTAAATATATATTTGTATTGATTTCAGAGAGGAAGGGAGAGGGGGAGAGAGATAGAAACATCAATGATAAGAGAGAATCATTGATCAGCTACCTCCTGCACGCCCCCCACTGGGGATCAAGCCCACAATCCAGGCATTTGCCCTGACTGAGAATCAAACCTTGACCTTCTGGTGCATAGGTCGACACTCAACCATTGAGCCACAACGGCCTGGCACATTTTTTGCATTTTTGTTGGTGATTTCACTGTGTATATGTATGACCCAAACATATAGTAAATGAGGTGTCTCTAAACAGAAACACACATATAAACAAGGTTGTGTATTGATCTGTGGATGAAAATGTGACCAGAGTCTCATAGAAACCTAACCTGTATTTCCCTTGGGAGCAATGGTTTAGTCTTTACTAATTCAGTGTATATGCTGGCTTTATAGACCATAAATACCACAAATAATGAGACTCTGCTGTATATTTCCCCACTTCTCGTCACCGAGTTCCACCACGTTACTTGTTTTGGTCAATAAAACGAGAGAGAAATAATGGCGTGCCAGTTCCACATCTGAGCCGTAACTAGCTTGTGTGTCTGCTTGCTGTCTTGCACCTCTACCATAGCCTTGAAGAATGTGCTTAGTTGGCTAGCCAGCTGGTCCCAAGAACAGAGTGAGAGACAGCTGAGCCCAGTCTAGACTGGCCAACCCACCACTAGCCCCCTACTCATGTAAGCTAAATAAATGTTTGCTTGTGGCATGACATTGGGGATTTGTGGACATTTCAATATTTATATTTTTACATAGCAAAAGCTAATTGCTCTACCTGCCAGGAATTTGAATAATCAAATTAAAAGGAGTACCCAGCTAATTGATAGAACTGCCCCACCCCCAACTTCCACCAGAGAGCCCCAGCCTGAGTGGGGAATAGCGCCTCAGCTGAGACTCAGAAAGGAGCCCCCCAAATTCTACTAACCAAATACAAATGTGTGGTTTTACCTCCAAATTCTTTAAAAAATGTATATGTTAATGCAACTTTAGTTCATTAACGAACTGTTTAATTATTTTAATTAAATGAGATGTTATTTTAGCAATGAAAATAATAGATATTCACACTTGATTCAGGTTTTACACTTAATGGAAACCTTGACATCTTTCATATATTTGTTTGATCCCCACCACAGTCTGTAAAGTGGGCAGGGGAGGAGATACAGTTGTCGCCATATTACAAACAAGGTAAGGGTGGCTTGGAAAGGTTAAGCTGTTTCCCAAGGTTGTAGAGTGATTTCAGCCTAGATTTTCTGCAGCCACATCTAGGACTCTTTTCTAAGCAGGAAAGAAACAAGAAGAGCACCATGATGTTCACAAACCAGGGAATGGAACTCAGAAAGCTGGGGGTTGGAGAAGGCTAAAAAGAAGGAAATAAGCTGTAAATTATTCTAGGGACAAATCTGCCTCAATTATGGGTCAAGAGTTGAAACATTTTGCTCAACTGGTGTGGCTCAGTGGTTGAGCCTGACCCATGAACCAAGAGGTCACCAGTTCCATTCCTCACTA